ACGGGCAGCACGCTGTCGTTGGCGCAGCGGTACATGCAGCAGCCGTCCCGGGACGCCGTCCACACCTCGCCGTGCGCCCGGGGGGCGCCCGAGCTGTCCGTGCAGGCTGGAGAGAGAGAGGGGGGGGTCAGGGAGGGGTCAGGGCGGGACACAGGAGGCCGAGTCTAGCTTTAGCCCTGTGAAGGATCTAGGGTCGTTTCTAAGGCGATATATGATCATAATACAGGCTGAGACTGGAGGTGTAGAAAAAGAGCAACGCACTCCAACATTTGGCTGGACCTCCTACAGCTTTGATTCCGGCTCACATTCTCTGTGGTTTTCTCTCAAAAAGCTTCAAGATTTTCCAGACAGGTCTTGTAGCTAATGGCGATCTGACCTCTCTCTCTCTTGCCATCTCTCTCACCCCTAACCAATAATGTAGATGTTCCAGGTTTCTTCCTCCTAAAGGCAGTTTTTCCCTCCCTGTGTCTCCTACTGCTGCTCTTGGTGGAACTGTTGTTCTTCTGTAAATAACTCAGAGTCTGAGCTGCTCTGTTTGGAAAGCTGGGAGATACCTCCATCCATCCATCCATCCATGGATGGATGAACTCCAACATTTGGCTTCATTTTTGATTCCGGCTCACATTCTCTTGTTTCTGATCTGACCTCTGCAGCTCAGCAGAGACTCTCAGTGGGTCCAGGTCCGGACTCTGTGGACTCCCAGAGCATGATGGGTAGTCCTCGCCTGCCTCCCTTCTGACCCTGATGCCCCCTCCCTCTGAACAGGGTCAGTCTGGACCCATCAGACCACCGGAGCTCCTCCCATTGCTGCTGCTTTTAGCCTGGCTTCAACTTCATGGAGTTAACGTGGGTTCTCAGCTAAGAGGAGGAGCATGGGCCCACAGAGGAACTGTGGAAAGTTCTCCAAAATGCTGAAAAACCCTCAGTGTACAAAGACACTGAGGAGCAGAATCAGCCGTTTAAGTTGCAACAGCTATTTAAGACTCAATCGGTCTGAGGTCGTTTTCCCAATATAACACAGAAATAGAGAGGTTTGAGTCTGATCCAGTAGACGGCAGCTTGGGACAGCAGAGGGTCTTACCACACTTCTCCGGGGGGATGCAGAGAGCCGAGTAGGGCCGGTGGAGCAGCGTGCCCTCCGGACACACGCAGCCCTCCGTCAGGCCCGAGCACTGGTCCGGGTCCGGGTCCACGTCGAAGTCGTGATTGGGGCAGGACTGGGAGGTGCAGGCGGGCAGGCAGGCCTGGTACCGCAGAGGGCCGGGGCACGAGAAGGCTGCAGGGAAACAGGGAAACCCGCACGTCAGAGGCTTTTCTGCAAAGGCCGGTTCTCTGGATTTAGCCATTTAGCTTCTGATGGAGCTGTAAAACCTGCAGGTCATTCCAGGACTGTCTGTTCTCCTCCCTCCCCTCAGTGTCAGCACGCTAGCTCAGGCTCAGGTTAGCCCTTTAACGCCACATCTTTAATATCAGATACTCAGATTTTTTTAAATATTTTGCATCTAAGACCTTTTGCATCATTTATTGGTACAAACTTTGCTCAAAACCCTGTTGTCAGATATACCTGATATAACAGCAGGCAGGAGGCTACACAACAATGATTTTTTACTTATCCATGGTAATAAATAAATATTAAAAAACTGTTTATACAATTTTTCATACTAATAAAAAATAAGACTACTCGTAATAAGACTTCAGACACCAAGAAAAAATACACATAATTGTCTATTTTTCTCTTGGATCAGGCTTTAAAGTGTTAAAGGAGGAAAAACACCAATAGCTACACAGGCAGCACATTTACATGTCTGCCTTAAAGGTGGCAGAACAGGCTAAAGAAGAAATGGTGATCATTCAGCAACATCTCAGAAAACATCAGCAGAAAACTGTGCATCCTGAGTTTAGTCCTCTAAGAAACGTCACAGATTGTTTCTTTTGTGGGAAATCTAAAAGATGCATCTGTGGTCTTCAGGGCCGATATTTTTCAGGGCAGAAGTTTTTTTCTATGTTATTACATGTTTATTATCATCATAGAGCTTACGGCAGTGATCTGGACTCCTCCACTCGATGCAGATGTTGAACTTGTGGCAGGACGCCACGTAGGCAGCCAGAGCCACGCACTGGTTGTTGACGTACTCCGAGTCTCGAACCCAGACCTCACAGAAGGTGCTGGGGGGCACCTGCACACAGAACCAGCCCTTTGTTAAAGCCGTCTCAGACCAGAACTAAGTCAGTCTTAGCTGGGAAACGACCCATCCAAAGAGCACAGTTTTTGAAGAGGAGAGCAAGATTTTTAAGAAAGAAGATGAAGATTTCTTCTTGTCATCTGGGATTCTTTGAAGAAATGGAGATGACTCAATCCCACCAGAGCTGAACAGGGAATGGTGAAAAACACATTTTGTTTTGAGGACTTTGCTCTTCAAATCTCAGCTGTCCGCCAGTATAAACACACACGCAGTTTTGGGATGTTATGCTGAGAGGAACTGTGCATCCCCGGGGTAAATCAGCCCACTGGCAGATTTCAGCTCAGTTTACTGAAAACTGCCTCACCTGCTGGTCATGCTCTTAGGGGAGGGTGAGATTGGAAAAAAAGGGGACGTACGAAGGCGTGGCAGGGGCTGAAGCGGGGCTCCTCCAGCATGGCCAGGCAGCGGGAGCAGTCGCTGGTGGAGCAGTTGAGCTCGCGGCGGCGGCTGCCGCTGACGTAGCTGGTGGTGTTGGGCACCTGCCAGCTGTCGATGAACTCGGCCGGATCCTGGCCCCCGCCCAGGGCCGTGCCGTTGGCCAGGGTCAGGTCGTTGGCCGGGTCTCCGTCACAGAGGCCTGGAACGCACAGACAGAATCAGTAACCACGATAAAGGCTGAGAACTGGGGAGGGGAATATCAGAGGACAGTGTCTGACTCCACATTTAGCCTGGTTTACTCTCCCAGATGTGCCAAGATACCCTCCAGTCATCAGGGATTTTCACTATTTTCTCCAGTGCCTCTAAAATCCCGATCGGCTGGATGCACTGTAGATTATTTCTGGTGCATCCCAACTATTTCAGACACTGAAGGAGGCAGAACAACCATTGGCTGGAAAAAGAATGAGGCCCCAACTTTTAAAGCCTGGATGTAGACATAAACTAACTGGGGGGCTAGTGTGGTGGATGCTCCTACTACCACCATTAAGGGCCCCAATATAATCCAGCTGGAGGTGGAAGCCTTGGAAGAAACCATTGTTCCAAAGACTGAGGGGGGGGTGTTCATTTTGAAGCTAAGTTCAATTGAGCCCTAAGTTATTTTGTCATTTTAATATATTATTTGTATGAAGTTAAATATGATTTTGCTTCTATTTTGTTAGGTTTTGAGTTTATTGTACTTCTATCATGTTCCTCCCTCATGTGGGAAGTTTAGGGCCCCCCCCCCTTTTTAAGCAGCCTTGGTTCTGTCTGGAGGTCAGTGTGGTTTGTGTCTGGTTGCTGTTCAGTTGACCTCAGTAGGGTTCTTTATAATCTTATCTTTTTTTTCTTTATATTGTTAAAATGACATTTTTCTCATTTTTGGAACACCTTTGGCCTTGATTCAGCCCGGAGGGCTAGTTAAGCGGACGGGTCTCTGTTTTTGCTTATCTATAAAATACTTCATGTCCATCTCTGTCATGCTGGATGAAGCCATTAATAAAAATATTTGGAGAGAGAGAAGAACAGCGACTTCTGAAGTCACAGATTCCCTGAAGTGGGAACGGTGTCCACTAACAGGGAGACCTGAACGCATCCCTCTGAGCCCTCAGCACAGTTTTGGTGCCTCCAAATAGTGCGTCTTATCTTTTAAGGGGCCTTTCTTATCTGATTAAACACGATGGAAGCACAGAAAAGTGCGTCTTATCTTTTAAAGGGCCTTTCTCATCTGATGAAACACGGTGGAATGCTCAGTGAGGTTGTTCAAGAGAGTAACTAGCATGAACAAACACAAAAACCGGGCGACCGGAGAAGAGGGATACTGAGTGAGGAGCCCCCCCTCACCGCAGAGGCCCATGGTGGGCAGCCTGGTTCCGGAGGCGTCGGTGTCGATCACCATCATGCCGGTGCTGTGGTACCACTGCAGCTTGAGGCCGGCCGGGGAGCGGATCAGGTACATGTTGCCCGTGTCGTAGATCTCAAAGCCGAACTTCTTGAAGCGGGGCTTGGCATAGCGCGAGTTGACGTAGAGCTGGTGGAAGAGCCCAGAAAGAGCAGCTCAGTATAAGCAGCTTCTGGAAGCTTCTAGTGAATAACAATCAAACTGCTTCTCACCCTCCTCTGCAGCCGGTCCAGGACCACGTGATTGGACTTGTGGGAGATGTTGAGCGACACCAGGCACAGGTTGGTGAAGTTCCAGAGGAGCTTTGGGAAAAAAATAGAAGACATGATCCTCCCAGTCATCTCAGAGAGTTATGGAGGTTTCCTAAGGTTTGGGGTTTTTTTTAAGTGTCTTTCTCGGTTAATTATTCCTTGTTTCAGCTCGTTTCTGAACCCTCCCAGTCTCAATTAGGTCCCACAGTATTTTTCCTTGCAGTTTTCATTCTCATGCTTCATGGTTCTGGAAGTTT